ACAAACTTTGGCAGTTGACCATATCACAGTGGAAAAGAGTCACCTGGTCTCTTTTATCTTTGTATTATGCATTTTTCCCAAGGGCTGGGGAAGGGCATCCTCTTAATTTCAAGGGTGACAACTTGTGAGTAGGAAAGGGCCAACATTAGATAGGCTAAGCCTCTTGGGGTTGGAGAGAGCATCTTGTGCAGGCCTGAGCTAAACTCTTGTTTTGTAAAATAAATGGTAATTTGGCAAATGGGTCGACTAATAAATAAAAGGTGTCTTTTGGGTTGACACTGAATAATAGAGTTGGAAGAGACCACATGGGCCATCTAGTGCATGGGCCATGCAGGCAAAGCACAATCAAAGCATACTACTATGCTTTGATTGTGCTACTGATCATGTAATACCATACATACATTTTTATTATGGTCCAAAGACCCTTATTATACTGTAGCATACAAGTTATACAGTTAATGGGATTAAGAACATCCAGTTGGATGCAAACAGTAAAAACTGCTTAAAATACATGTTGGCTAAAAACACAGGTAAACGGCTATAAAAAGTGCTGGTATGTTTCAGCCTGTGTCTAAAATAAGGAAAAGTCTAATTCTGGCTGCCTCGGAAAGAAACACGGCATTTCAGGTTTACCTCCAATGTTTGGCCATATGTTGTAATTCATGGCAAACTGGTGAATAGGATCCTAAAACTGCTTCAGACCTGGGCTGACACTGATGCAATAAAGAGCTAGCACTGTGGCCACAATAATGGGTGAATCCATGTTGTGATGTGGGGATGTTGTAGAATCATAGAAGCAGATGGTGAAAACAGAAGAACGGCCTGCCTCAGGGGAGTGTGCTTGTTCCATCAATGCTCAGCATTTACACAAATGACCAGCCATTGCTACAAGGGACACAGAGTTTAATCTATGCTGACGATCGTGCCACCACCGCTCAAGCAGGGAGCTTTGAAATGGTTGAACGGAAGCTCTCCGAAGCTCTATGTGCTCTTACTGCCTATTACGGGAAAAACCAGCTGATTCCTAATCCATCTAAAATGCAGATGTGTGCTTTCATCTTAAGAACAGACAAGCACCTCGAGATCTGAGGATAACCTGGGAAGGAATCCCATTAGAGCATTGCAGCACACCCAAATACCTGGGAGTTGCTCTGGACCATACTCTGACTTATGAGAAGCACTGCTTGAATATCAAGCAAAAAGTGGGTGCTAGAAATAATATAATATGAAAGCTGACTGGCACAACCTGGGGATCACAACCAGATACAGTGAAGACATCTGCTGTTGCACTTTCCTACTCTGCTGCTGAGTATGCATGCCCAGTGTGGAACACATCTCATCACTTTAAAACAGTGGATGTGGCTCTTAATGAGACATGCCACATTATCACAGGATGTCTACGCCCTACATCACTGGAGAAGTTATATTGTTTAGCCAGTATTGCACCACTTGACATCTGCTGGGAAGTAGCAGCCAGCAATGAAAGGACCAAGCATGGACATCTCTGGACCATCCCCTGTTCAGATATCAGCCAGCAAGCCAACGCCTTAAATCAAGGAATAGCTTTCTGAGATCGACATAGATACTTGCAGGGACATCTCAGCAAGCGAGAGTCCAAAACTGGCAGGCTAAAACTCAGAACTTCAACCAGTGGGTGATACAGGATGAGAAATTTCCTCCTGGGCAGACAGAAGACTGGGTGACTTGGAAGGTTCTGGACAGACTGCGCCTTGGCACCATGAGATACAGAGCCAAGCCTAAGAAATAGGGCTACAAAGTGGAGTCCATGATATGCAAGTGTGGAGAAGAGCGGACCACCTACTACCATGCACTCTGAGCCCTGCCACATGCACAATTGAGGACCTTCTTATAGAAACACCAAGTGGCCAGCTATTGGTTAAAGGAAATCTATCCTAATGCCAAGTTTTTAATTTTGTTTGTGTCTTTTAAATACATTATAATTGTACTGCTTCTGAAAAGATAAATAGAATCATAGCGTTGAAAGAGACCACATCAGCCATATAGTTCAACCTTCTGCCATGCACAATCAAAGCAATCACAATCAAAGCACTCCTGAGAGATGACCACCCAGCCTGTTTAAAAGCCTCCAAGGAAGGAGCTTCCACCACACTATGAGGCAGTGTTCAAAAAGAAAGTCATACAAGGCAAATGTGGGTGCTTCTTCTAGGTGTCCCTTCCCATACATTCCCAACCCAAACCAATGGGTGACTTAAAACTAGAGTAACCTCTCTTTCTTGAACTAGTGCAGAATTGTGACTTTGTAGAAGATCAAACCATTCCATACACCCAGAAATAAAGCCCGACTGCTCACTGTGTTGTCGAGCAATTTAGAATGGTTGTGGATAGTGAGATCCAAGCCATTGCGGGTTTAGCCTGGTGAGAAAGAGAAGCCAGTATTCTAGAATAAATCTCACCAAATTGAAGAGAAGCCACCGAAGTTTATTTTCTATTCCAGCTGGAAATGATGATGACTGCAGTAATCTGCCAAACAAGCTGACATGTTTGCTAGGCAGGTAAATACAGAATATATAGTTTTCCATTCAATTTTCACCGCACCCACCCCAAGCCAGCTTCATTGTGATTGGCTGTGACGTCAGCGAGCCAGGAGGAGATCCAATGAGGGCCCTGGTCCTGCTTTGCCCGCTCAGCCAATGAGGTGGAAGGGAGGTGGGCAACAGGGAAAAATGAAGAAATGACTAGGTGACTGGATAACAAATGACTGGTGTTTGCCAAGCGATAGCTTTAGGCTGTCCAGCCTGGTCAGGGTTATTGTCCTGATCTTTGAATTAACATTTCTGTCTGGACCCAAGAGGCCAGGTCCACTGTCTTATTGTCCTGCAATATTGGCTTCACTGATGAAGTTGAGATTGGTTTCAGAGATTGGGATTTGACACAGCAGGGGAGGCAGTGACAATCCCTGGTTCCTTGCAGATGGGGAGATGTCCTTTGTGTTGAGTGATTCAGTATGTTCATAGACTCCATTGTTCTGGATGGCCTGGCCATCGGGCCCTCTGAGTTCCAGAAAAGGGAACCATTTACGTATTGTATTGTCCATGCAAATGGGTTTTGGTCAAGTCCTTTCTTTGGGGATTATTGGCTCAGGAAGTTTGGAGATTCCTATTATTATTATAACATTATTTGTACCCCGCTAGCATCTCCCACAGGACTCGATGCGGCTTACATAGGCCTAGGCCTCAAAACACAACATAACAATACACAACCTAAAGCAAATTCTAAAGCAAAGTGCTTCTAGGACTTTATAGAACTAAGATTACTGCACACCGCACACCGCACACCGCACACCGCACTTACTTTATAATCCTACATACCTCCTGCCACATCAGCACTTTTACTCTTGTACCCATTTTCTGGCCTGGCCCAGTTTTATATTGTCTTGATGTTTTGATGTATTGTTATTGCTGTTGTTTATTTCTGCTTAACTGTTTTAATTTGCACTAGTTATTGTACTGTTGTATTGTGTTTTGAGGCCTAGGCCTATGTAAGCCGCATCGAGTCCTGCGGGAGATGCTAGCGGGGTACAAATAAAGTTATAATAATAATAATAATAGGAATCTCCAAACTTCCTGAGCCAATAATCCCCAAAGAAAGGACTTGACCAAAACCTAGAGCAATGGCTACTCAGTGCTTTTCTGAATTTTTATGAACTCTCATGAACTTTTTAGGAACTTTTATGGACTTTTTGCCAACTTTCATGAACTTTAATAGACTTCGGGATGACTGAAATGAATTCCCCTTGGATTCCTAGAGCAATGAGTTGCTGGCATAGTTCATGTAAAGGTCACTTTGCTTCATAATTTCTTACATAGCCATACATACAATGAATGGGGCATACCCAGAATTCATAGGGGAAGGGGAAGGCATGCAGGGTCCAAGGGGAATTCATTTCAGTCATCCCGAAGTCTATTAAAGTTCATGAAAGTTGGCAAAAAGTCCATAAAAGTTCCTAAAAAGTTCATGAGAGTTCATAAAAATTCAGAAAAGCACTGAGTAGCCAAAGTCCATTCATAAAAACAGGAGGAGCGATAGGGGATTATGGGATCATTCCAGCCTTGTGTCCTTGGCAAAACTATGAATTCCCTGGTTTTGAACTATCTTTTACAGAGTCTTGGGGGGGAGGGCATCACCTCTGATTACAACTGGAGGGAAGGATATTAGAGGCGAAGATGAAGTCCTTTGGCCACATCATGAGAAGAAAGGAAAGCTTAGAGAAGACGATGATGCTGGGGAAAATGAAAGGAACAAGGAAGAGGGGCCGAACAAGGGCAAGATGGATGGACGGTATCTTTGAAGTGACTGGATTGACCTTGAAGGAGCTGGGGATGAATCTATTTGCGTTTAAGGGGCCATTAGACTCTTTTGTGCAAAGCAAGGCCGAGAAGGTGTCTGGAATATTCTGAAAGTTTTCGGTGCATTTTCAGAACCAGCCACTAGCAGGAGGGAAGGGAGAAGCAAGATGGCCTGCCTGCCTGCCATGTATCGCACGCGCCAGCCTGCGGGCCGAAGAGGAGGAGGAGGCGGCGAAAGTGAAGAGGCGCGCAGGCTTGGCTGTCTCCCTGGTCGCCAAACAAGCCTTGCTGTGTCCTCAGTGCCATCTCTGAGGGGCCAGGATGGGGAAAGGCGCCCTTACGCACTCCCCGGCGAGTCTAAAGCGGCAGCACTCCCCGTCCTCAGGGGGCAGAAGGGGGGCTCCCGGCTGCGCGCTCCCGCCCTCCCCCCCCCCGGTCGCCGCCTCACGGCTGTCTGTGAGTGACGTTCAGGGCCCGCTAAGCCCCGCCCCTTCTGGCCCTCTTATATGGGAGTTGTTCACGGCCCCCTCCCCCGCTGTGACTGACAGGCGCTCCTCCAATCAGCTCCCGGTTCCGTCGCGCACATGGCAACCGGTGTCCGGCAAAGGAAGAAAGCCCGCCCCTTCCGCGATACGGAGGGGAAGGGGGGGGGACACACATAACGCTTTAGCCCGGTGCTTCGGTGGAGGCGCGTGATCCTGGCAGAAGTGGCGAAGAGTGTGGCCCCGCCGCCATTTCAGGAAAGGGCAACGCCCTCAGGCTCCCTCTTCCCCCGCCCCTCGCTGGCGAACGAGCACCCGAGCCAAGCCCCGCCCCCTCCCTCACCCTCACCCGCCTCGGGCATTTCCGCCGCTGGAGCCGAAGCTCTTCGCCCGCCGCCTGCCTCGCGCCAGACGAGTCCTTTATGTCTGCGTCCGCGCTGCGCCTGCGCCGCCAGCGCCATTTTTTTTTGCCGCCTCCGCCTCCCTCCCCCCGTTTCTGACTGACTCTGGAGCAGGGAAACCGCGAGCGAAGGGAGGAAGGGGCTGAGAGGAGGGAGAGAGAGAGAGAGAGAGAGAGAAGGCCCGCTGAGAGGAAGAGGAGGAGGCGGCGGCGCAGAGAGAGAGAGAGAGGGAGGAGGCAGGAGCGGCTGTGGGGCTGCGCCAGGCTCTCTTCCCCTCGTGCCTCCCCGCCCTCGGTGGGAGTCATGCCCCGCGCCGCGCGCTCCTCTTGCTGCTGCTGAGGAGTTGCTCTTGATGGGGAGGCGCCAGCGGGACTGCCGTAGGTACCTTCCGCCCAGGGCCCCTCCTCCTCCCCCCTCTCCCCTTCCCTTCCCGGGAGGCTCCGCTCGGGGGCTTTCCCTGCTTCGGGGCGGCTCCTCGCCCCTTTCCCTCCTTCTCTCCTTCCCTCCCCTCTTGGCGAGCCAGCTGCTCTGAACCGGGAACCTTAGGCGGGGAGGGGAGGGGAATGCATGGCCGGGGCCTGAGAGGCGGCAGGGGTCTGGGCGCGCGCGCCTGAGAGAGAGAGAGCGCGAGGGAGAGGGAGTAGTGCGTGGCGTGTCGCGCGCCTCCCTCCCTCCCTCCGCCCGCCATTCTGGGGAAGCGAGCTCCTTAAAATAGCCCTTGTCGTCCAATGCACCACCACCAGCCTGACTCAGCGGCAGACAGTCCTAGTGGGGGGAGGAAGATGGCGCACCCGGCGATGCTCCCTCGGAGGGGGAGCGGCAGCAGTAGCAGCAGCGGCGTCGCCGTGGTGGGGCCGGCCCTAGAAGACCTCCCGCCCCCGCTGCTCCTCCAGCCACCGCCTGCCGCCGCCGCATCCTCCTCTGCCTCCCCTGCTGGGCCGCAGGGGCCCCCGCCCCCTCCGCCACCGCAGAGCCTGTCGCTGCCCTCCCAGCCCGGGGCCCCTCCGGTGCCGATGCCTCTCCCTCCGGCGGGGCAGGCCGGGGCCCAGATGAAGAAGAAGAGCGGCTTCCAGATCACCAGCGTGACCCCGGCCCAGATCTCCGCCAGCCTCAGCTCCAACAACAGCATCGCCGAGGACACCGAGAGCTACGACGACCTGGACGAGTCCCACACCGAGGACCTCTCCTCCTCGGAGATCCTCGACGTCTCCCTGTCCCGGGCCACCGACCTGGGCGAGCCTGAGCGCAGCTCCTCCGAAGAGACGCTGAACAACTTCCAAGAGGCCGAGAGCCCCGGGGCCGTCTCCCCCAACCAGCCGGGCCTCCCCCAGCAGCAGCAGCACCTCCCTCCGGCCTTGCCTCATGCACCCCAGCAGCAGCAGCAGGGCATGGCGATGAACGGGAGCGTTCACCCGCCTCACGGACACCATTTCCACCACCACCATCACCACCACCATCATGGTCATCACCACTCCTCGCATTCTGGGGCGGCTGGCCCAGTCGCCCCATCCAGCCCATCCTTTCGGAAGCTCTCTGCGGCCGGGAGCACTGATGGGGCCTCTGCCACAGTGGCGTCTGTGCCTATTTCTGCTGCATCATCCACTGGGACACCTGCAGCCGCCACCGTCTCTCATTTCCGTGCTGCTGGGGTCCCTTCTGCTGCTACCAGCACATTTGGTGGTGTGGCCAGTGGCGGGCCTAGCATGGTGAGTGGCGTGCCTGGTCATATGCATAAGAATCTCAGTAACATCCCAAGTACAGGTGGGGGAACCCCTCTGCCTGGAGCAAGCAGCAGCGTGAACGTGGCTGTCCTGAGTGGGGTCAGCAATGGCACGAGTGCTTCCTCCGGTAACTCTAGCAATCCAGTTGCCGGAGCAGCGCCTAGTCACCTGCAGCCTGCAGCCAGCACCTCGAGGTTTAGAGTGGTGAAACTGGATTCTAGTTCAGAGCCTTTCAAGAAAGGCAGGTGGACATGCACAGAGTTCTATGACAAAGAGAACCCTGTCTCCCTCGCGGAAGGAGTAGCTGCAGTCAACAAAGCCGTAGACACTCTGAAACAAAACCCTCTCGAAGGGACTTCTGAAAGGGAGAGTACCAGTGGGAGCTCGGTGAGCAGCAACGTAAGCACGTTGAGTCACTATACGGAAAGCGTGGGAAGCGGAGAGATGGGAGCACCTACTGTGATGGTGCAGCAGCAGCAGGCATTTCAAGGGGCTGTTTCTCAGCAAGTGGATTTTGGCGCCACTGGCCCTCAAGCTGTGCCAGCTCCCAGTATGCCCCAGAGCATTTCCCAGTCACAGCTTGCACAAGCACAGCTTCATCCTCAGGATGTGAATTATTCTCAGCTACAGCAAGGGGTCCAGCCCACTCCCTCAGCTGTTCCTCCTCCTGTGAATATCGTTGGTGGCCATCCGCAGCCTGCTATGGCACCGGCACAGCAGCTGCCATACACCCAACAATCATCCCAACCTGTGCAGGCTGTTCCAGTTGTGCCGCAATCACACCAGTTGCCGTACGGGCAAGGACAGGCACAGCACCCTCCACCACCTCAGCAGATGCCCATGCAGATGGCCCCAGGGCACATTCAGCCAGTGAATCAAAACTCTGTTACAGGATCTGTGCCAGATTACATGCAGCAGCAGCAACAACAACAACAACAGATGGTGCAAACCCCAGCTTCTTCTATGCAGACTGGTCCTCCAGTGGTGGGAACAGGTACGCCTGTCCCTGTTGCTCAGGCCCCAAGTGTGCAGCCTTCAGTACAAGCACACTTGGCAGTGGCATCCTCTCAGCCTGTTGCCCATGCCCAGACAACAATGCAGACCATTGGAGCTAGTGCTCAGATGATGAATGTTGGTCCACAAGCAAGTGTACCTCCTGTGGTGCAGCAGCCACCGCCTCCTGTTACAAACCAAATTACCCCTCCAGTGATGGCACAAAGTACTGCTCCTCCACCTTCTCAAGCCGTGCCCCCTGTTGCAGCAGGGATGATTCATCCAGGGCAGCAAGGCAGCACATCAAGCCTTGCTCAGCCATTGGTGATTGCACCACAGAGTACCCTACTCCAAGCATCAGAATCTCTTGCTCAAGGACTTGCTGGTCAGCTGCCCCCTGTGAGCCCAATACCTTCTGTTAGTGCTGTCCCTGCCCCAGGCCACCCTGCTGCCAATGTCTCCCCTGCTCCGATGAGTTTGGCTGCTTCAAAGAACATAGCACAGTCTTCTGGTGTGCAGAATGGGAACTTGGTTCAAAATGTGTCCCAGCCTTCGTTAATGTCAACTAGCATCAATTTGCCTATAGCTCCAAATTTGTCCGCACAGATACCACTGAACTCTGCCCAGTTTTCTGCACAGTCTCTTGCCCATGCAGTTGCATCCCGTGCTGAAGAGGCCAGGCGCTCTACAGAACCCACCTTGATTGGCTTACCCCAACTTATCAGCGGTGAAGGCGGAGGAAGTACATCCTCGTCCATTTCAGATGGAGGCAACAGCATGGCATCCTCTCTTTTCCCCTTGAAGGTACTTCCATTGACATCGCAGCTGGTTGATGGTGAGGATGAGAGGTAAGATCAGGCCAAAGGGGAAAAAGTGATATGTTGTAAACTGCTCTTATTGATTCATTGTCAAACAAATATAAGTTTTATCATTACAGAATCAGTAACTTGTGTTAACAAGAACTTCTTTAGCTAATAATAGACAAGGGATTTTATGCCACAATGTTCAGTGCCTGTAGGATTTTGTTGGAAAGCTTGCGAGGGAAAAAGTAACTGCACCCTAAAGAATAGTTAATTATCACTCTGAAGGGTTAATGTATTTTTCTCAGTGTGTGAAAAATTTTGTGAAGTGTTCACTGATTAAGGTATGGAAATGCACATCTTAATTGGGTAAGTTTGATGGAAGGACTTCTTTCAGTTCCTTGACTGCCATAATGTGATTAATCTGACTTTCTCCTTTTTCTCTGAATGGAGGAAGGAGGGTGAATGGTGGAAGGACTTCTTTCATTTTCCCTCACCTATGCAGACAATTTTAACATTGCTTTTCATGATCTTACCTTATTTTTCTTCCTTCTTTCCCAGCTGTTATTATAATGTAACTTGTAACAATCAGGCTCACTGACTTTCTTTTATAGAAGGGAGGCCTGGTAGTTTTGGATTTATGGAATCTTTTGAAAAATATGTTGGACCTGATGTATACAGACCAAATATAAATCCTATTTAAAATGGTTTTTAAATGGGTAGGGATAACTCAATTTTTACCTTTGCATATTCTTTCCTGTTTTGGAGCCTTTTGATCTGAATGCCTCATATTTTGCTTGTTGGTTTGTTTCAACAGATAATGGATTGGATCCATAGTTTAGGTTAGACATAGTGAAATCAATAGGCCATGAATAATTTGACCCATAGGTTTTAGTGTGCCATCTATGTCCATTATTAAGTATGGATCTATCCCAGTTTATTTATATATAAAGTTCTTTGGTTTGATATTATTTAAGGCTTTGTTTCTTTTTAGTTTTCTCATGGTAACCTACTTTTGAAAATAGGAGAATCTGTCAATTGTGAAAAGCAGGCAGTATAATCAGGCTCATGGGGAGGTTTTTCTGATTATGAGGAATACAAAATTCCTTTCCAACTTGGAACAACCATAATCAGAGAACATTTTTTATTCACTCTGAACCAAATAAGTATTTTAACTTTTGATGGAAACCACCACCAAACATTTCATCTTGCTCAAATCTTGCTGTGTCTGAGACTTTTAAAAATATATCCAGTCCTCTTCCTGAGCAGTTTTGGATAAAAACATATTTCGTTCTATGGGCATTTTAGACCAGATTCCAAGCCCACCTAGTGAGTTATCTTTGCAAGCAAGTATCTAAGTGTTGATTTCTTTCTTTAAAAGTTGCCAGCAAATTCTACTGCCTTTCATATGAAACATAACAAAAACCTATGACCATGGGAGCCTTGGGCCATTCACCTTCCATGACCAACGTATGACCTGAGGTTGGAACTCTCTAGAACTGGGTCACAGCCAGTATCTTAAAAAGCAGAAGAATGGGAACAGTTTGAAGCACATCAGGCTTCCACTCCCAGAAATTCTACTTTCCTGTTAATTTTATTTCAAAAATCCTGAGAAGGGAAGCAATCAATTGGGAATAAGCATAAAGCAGGAAATCCTCGTCCCTGTCATCCTTTAAAAATCCCAGTATCTATTTCTTGTAGGGAAACTGGTCTTCTGACACCACATCTGTTTTGCTTAACATGTAATTTGGGTCTGCTGGTTGTTGTTACTAACTTTCTTTATACCCTACCTTGTTCTCAAAACTAAAACTCAGGTTATAGATATTGGACTGAATTGGGCTTTCTATTAAATTAATTTAACTTGGTGATCTATAGGAATATTTTGAGGGTAATACAGTCATTGTCATAACAGTCATAATAGTATCATATTTTATTGTTGTTTTCACTACCTAGAAATTATGGCATTGCTTCTAAATTAAGATGGCTGCCTAGTCTATTTGTATTTTATAAAATTATAACTGAATGAATAAATAAGGAAATGGTTCCATATTATTGATTAGTTTAGTGACCGATTAAAATCAAGGGAACTGAATGAGATATTGTGGGAATTCTGTGTTGGAGAAATGAATTAGAGTTCTTTACTGAACATGTATTTGGATCTAAATCCTTCCCATCTTTCCAAGGAGGTTGTGGTAACGGGCACTGAATTGTCCACTTTTCTGCTCTTAATGATTGTGAGAAGAGTAAGGTTAGAAGGGAGCATAAGAATGGTTACCCCAAGGACTCATGAATGTGACAATGGTACCACATCTGCCTAATCCAGTGCTGTCCAATACAGTATTCTGGCCTTGTATTGTTATCTTCCTGCATTTGCAAACAAAAAGGCCTCCATTGAGATAGTTTTTGTGAGTTGAGACAAATTAGAATGCCGACCTACTTCTTATGGTCTACCCCTTGAGGAAGTAGGGTTATCTCCTCAAAGATGGAATGGCGCCAACTGTTGTTGCTGGTACTAGCATAGTAATGACCTATCTGAGAGAGTGGGATAAGGAAATGTTGGTAAATTGTAGAGGTTAGCCTGTTGTTCCTCATTTGATTTCTATTAAGAGAAATCTCTAGAGCAGGGGTCCTCAAACATTTTAAGCAGAGGGCCAGATCAAAGTCCCTCAAACTGTTGGAGGGCCGGATTATAATTCGAAAAAAAACATGAATGAATTCCTATGCACACTGCACCTATCTGATTTGTAGTACAACCCCCCCCCCCCACTTAAAACAATACAATAATTAAAATGAAGAACAATTTTAATAAATATAAACTTATTAGTATTTCAATGGGAAGTGTGGACCTGCTTTTGGCTGATGAGATAGGATTGTTATTGTTGTGTGCTTTCAAGTCATTTCAGACTTAGGTTGACCCTGAGCAAGGGCCGGTTAGATAACCTTGGAGGGCTGTATGCGGCCCTCGGGCCATAGTTTGAGGACCCCTGCTCTAGAGTGTTTTCAGTTCCCATCTTTGTCTTTCAGTTGTACCTGGTAGGGCAAACCTCTTCTGCTAGATTTCTGTACTTGGTGAGTACAGGAAACATTTCATTAATAGTCTTTTCATAATTGTAATGTGTATTTGGAAGAGCTTCAGGAATCACTGATGAAAGTCTACAGCAAGCAATATCTGTCCAGTGTTAAATTTTTCTAGATGTTTCTTCTGTCATCGGTTTCTTCAGGAGGTTCTTTTGGTTGAAGAGACCAGTGAAGTTCAGTTTCTTTTTTAGACTGATCCTCTTGTATGAAATGAGTTATGAAAACAAGGCATCTTTTTTCTGTGATGGGTGATCAAGTTCTACTCAAAGCAGTGCCAAATCCCATTGCAAGAGACCATTCTCTTGTTTTTCATCTAAGGACACCTATTGAAAATTGTGCTTTAAAACCTCCCTACCTTACAATTGCTATTTGTTAGTTAAGACATTATGTTTAATGTTATCCAGGACTTTTTTTTTGTCGTGTCAGGAGCGACTTGAGAAACTGCAGGTCGCTTCTGGTGTGAGAGAATTGGCCGTCTGCAAGGACGTTGCCCAGGGGACACCCGGATGTTTTTGATGTTTTACCATCCTTGTGAGAGGCTTCTCTCATGTCCCCGCATGAGGAGCTGGAGCTGATAGAGGGAGCTCATCTGCACTCTCCCCATATTCAAACCTGCGACCTGTCATTCTTTAGTCCTGCTGGCACAGGGGTTTAACCCACTATGCCACCGGGAGCTCCTTACCCAGGACTGGGGAGATATATGATCAAGTCTAGCACTTTGTGTATTTTGTCTACGATAACTCTTTGGTCTAAAATGATTCACAAGAAAACCTTGGAAACTTCATTGTCTTAAATTGATTGGGCCAAATGAAACTTGTACATGTTGTAAGATATCACAGTTTTTTGAATTATTATTTCAAGATTTTTAATTTCACCCAGTTACAATAAGACTGATAAAATTTGTTAGTTTTGACAGTGAGTTTTATATTGATTTTGACAGAAGCTTTGTAAATAAAAGAAAACCAAAAGGCAAATAAAAAACTAAAGGGAAAATATGTAAGAATACATATAACTAAACTAAATTAGAACAAATGCCTAACTGAATATTCTCAATAGCAATGAATACTTAACACACTAAAAAAACTAATCACAAAGTCTAATGGAAACAAATTGAAAGAAAGAATATATCGATCTTCTGTTATAGATACAAGTGAGGAACATAGTAGTATTAACCATATCCACAAATTATTACTGTTATATTTCTTACTGCTTAAGTCCAAAAATGGTTTCCCGCCATTCAAAAAACCATTAATTGGTTTATCCTTTAAAATCCATATTAATTTGGTAGACTAACACAGCTGCTTTAAGAATCTATTCTTTCATTCTTGGTGCTTCATTCTGTTTTCAGGTATTCATGATTCTGTTATTATATATTGAAGAAGTCCATATTTGCTGGGGAATTCTTTATCTGTAGCGCACAACAAAAACATTTTTGGTATCGCTTTTAAAATTAACATAGGAATCTTGACACCATTAGATTTCTACTTTTTCTGACATGTCCACCATATTTGAAAAAAGAGCCATTCTTACCTTAGGACTACCCTAAGACTAATTTTAAGACTTCTTGGAAAACATGTTTGAGTTGGATGTCATCTACTGTAAATATCATACACATTTTATTTTAGAATACTACCCAGAGTAACTTTCTCCCATCCATTTGAATATTGTGACCAAAGTTTTGGGCCCACCTTATATAACCTTTGTAGATTTGTCTTCTCTCTCTAATTTCAGATATCCATACACTTTTTAAAATTACATGTTTATCATCTTCACAGAGCTTTAAATTTATTTTCTCCAGATTCTTTTAGCTTGATTGAATCTCTCCTTCAATTGTAAATAAGCAAACTAATTTAGATCTTTGCCTTCCTTATGAAGCATCTTTCTTGATTGCAGCACAAGTGATGTTGGTTCAACTACAAAAGATCATCATAAAGCAAACTTCTTTTCTGAAGAAAGGTTTTCTGAAAAAG